TTTTTTATCGATCACAGATCAAAAATTTTATAGGTCACGGCTTATTTCGATGTCACAAATCTAAAATTTTATAGGTCACAGATTATTTTATTAGTCACAAATCAAAAAAATTATATGTCATGTTTTTTCAAATTTGTTGGTCATAGATTCTTTTTTTAGTTACAAATTATCAATTTTAAAATCACGGTTCAATAGCTAGGTCATAGACACCAAAAAGAACCACCACCGTCGTTGAGCCTGCTACAACAATAACAAAAAACGACCACCACCACACGGATCACCATTACCACCACACGATCGCCGCCACAGATCCACCACTGTTATTCAACTTTAACGTGAGAGCTATTAGACAGTCCAAAATATCATTTATGCACTTTATAAGCGGAATCATACCTTCCATATTTCATCATCAGAATACAACCCAAGGGGGTCAATATCGCTTCTAATAGTTCCCTTGAATAGGTCAGGTTCCTGAGGGATGATTCCATAACGAGACCTAAGATCATGAAGGCCGAGCTTGCATATGTCAACCTCATCAATTATTATCTTCCCACTATAAGGTTCTACCAACCTAAAGAACACTTGGATCGGAGTTGACTTTCCACTTCCAGTTCGACCAACGACACCAATTTTCTCCCCTCCATGGATGCTGAGAGATATTCCTTTCAATACCTAACCTGCTCAGATTTATGTCAAAAGAGGGGGATCGCCGCAACTTCCTCGTCGTGGCTGCAACGACGACTTTGGACCAGTCACCACTCATCGTCGCTGCTGCTGGTGGGTAATGAAGGGAGAGAGAGAGAGCGACGGTAGAGAGAGAGAGAGAGAGAGAGAGAGAGAGAGAGAGAGAGAGAGAGAGAGAGAATGGGTTTGGAGGAAATGATGTGGGGGACGGGATTGATAAATTAAGATTTTAATATAGTACCTGATTTTTTAAAAGGTATACCTGATTTTTAAAAATGTCAAACTAAACCCCTGGTTTTACATAATTTTCCCAAAATAATACCTAGCCTAATAGTTAACTAAACCCACATTTAAACCTAGCCCAATTAACCCAAACCCAAACTCAAGCCTAAGCCCTGACCAGTGTTGAAAAACCCAAACCCAAACCGAACCCAGCTTAGCACTGAACAAAACCCAAAACTAACCCCAACCCAACACTGCATCCAAACCCAACCCATGTGACCTCACGCATTAGGGGTGAAAAAAAATTCATTTAACCCGAAACCCGTGGGGTCCTGCCCCGAACGGGGAGGGGATTACCCGCCTAATCGTGTAAACGGGGACGGGGCAAGGGTCATTGTCTCGAAGCGGGTACGGGAATCACAGTCCCCGTCCCGCTACTCGTCCCATTTAAAATTAATTTTATATTTAAATTTTTTTATCAAATAAAAATAATAGATTTATCATATTTTTAAAAAGAACATAAGTTGTTTCTCACAAATTGGTAAAAAAAAATATATATATTTACTAAGTAAAGACATAAAAAATGAAAGTAAAAAATAAAATAAATAAAAATATAAAAAGAACAAATAACCGCCCCGGCCCAAACCCTCCTCGTCCCGCTAGAACGAAGTTGGGTCTTTCAAGAAAGTCTACGTTGTCCACCAGGGATAGGGTCGGCTTTGTGCCACCCCATTGTTCTAGCTTATTAAGATTTGAGGCTCTATCTTAAAATGTTAATCTTATTAAGAGGAGAAGTCTAATACCTTGTATGTTCGTCTATGTTTTTATCTTTATTTGAGATTTATCCCTTAACATTGACTCGTTTGAGCAAATCAATCTTAAGATGATGGTGACTCGTTTGAGCAAATCAATCAGTATGTTTATTAGCTCATTATTTTTGAATCTTAATCGAATGGAATTGCTCGTTGAGCTTAATGGCCTTAATACCATATTAAGACTTTTAATTCCATCTTAAAAGGTCATTCTTCGTTAAGAGGAGTAGTCAAGTCCCTTATACGTTGGTCTATGTTTTTATCTTTGTTCGATGTGAAATTTATTTCTTAACACAACTGATGTGGAATCTTGGTCACTACTCCGACGGAAAGACCATTGAGCTGCTTCTCCGCCAAGCTGAACCCACTAACATTGCCGCCAGTGTATTTGATACTGCAAATTTTGGTCTAAGCATACTATGGTCTATGCATTACAATAGGCCTAAAGAAACAGAAATTTGAGCAGAAATGCGAGTGACAAGTACTTATATTTTGGTCTCTCAGAAATGAGCAGAAAAGTAGTGAATCTAGACTTCAAGGGATTTCACCAGAAGGCAATGAATTATGATTGGAAGAAGAAGGTGGGCACCAATCTCCCAGATAACTTATGTACAGTTGTTAGTTCTGTTCTTTTCATGCCTCTGGCAAACGAGCGTGGAATTGAATCTCCCACTGTCCGAGCCATGGCTTGGTTTTCTGCAGCAGTTTCTTCAGGAATTCCTCTTGTATTTGTTAACATTCAATCAGAACAAATTATCACCTCGGTATCATTCTTATATACATTGATTCTCTTTCATTTTTCTTTAGCTTAAATGATCAGATATTTTAAAAAAATTCTGAGAATTCTTTTTCCTTTTGAAGACGAGAAATAATGTGACAAGCAAAGAGCTAACTTGGGGTAAACAACAAAATACCGCTGTAAACATTGTACAAGGTATAAGACTTTGGTTTCTTCCAGGTGTTGCAGAGGAAACACTAGAACTGTTTCCTCAATCAGGAGAAACCAGATATGGTATGGATATCAGACAAACCGACGAGGTAATTTCACAG